TCCTACTGTATGTAATATTTATATCTTGTGGTCAATTGCAGATCAAACTCGGTCAACGGCTTGTAACAAGACTGAATAAAACTTGTAATAAGTTTCTCGTTTGCTCATCCAACTTCACACCTCGATAACAAACAGTCCTTCAAAAGTTGATGTGGCCCGCGTAACGCAACAACTTCGTCGGGACTCGAATGTGCATTTACTGTATTCACTGGGAGTTACGGCGGATTCACTTGAAGTTAAAAAGGCATGGATCGAAGATGGAAACGGAGTAGTGTGGAGTTATTGGATCGGTGCTGCCAGACGGTACATTCGTTGTCCACCGGTTTGCGAGTTTGATGTCATTGTTTTATTTTCTTCAGCTTGCCGCCGTCTGTTTTATAGTGAATAGTTTATGACCCATGGACATCAAGATCCTTAAACTGGTCGTGCGAGCTTTTATTGAATGGAAACAACAAACCAGTTACCGCCTTTCCTGTGTTTCTAATCGATAAAACAAACCCGGTTATGAAGACTCATTGACTTCCTCGTGGTTTGGGTACCCGAATGCACCATGTTTCTCGGTTGCATTTAGCTGTTTTTGTGTACTCCAGTAACCAGTCTCCTGTCCTAATTTGACTAATGTGTTCTTTGTTGCGTTCTATTGGTTTGATGGATTCTATTTAGTCTGTTGGTACTTCATGCTTTCTTTTTAATATTGAAACAAGATTGTCGTTTGCTTGCTACGGTCAATCTCCTGCTATGTCGCACCCCTCGGGAATTCGAAAAAGTGGATAAATTCCAGGAACCGCAACATAGCATGATATTCAGTACTAGATGCTATTAAGTAGCATAAAAAATCGGTTGACAGTTTTGTGATCGATGAAAATAAGTTAATTCAGGTACTTTTTCCCAATCTTTATACTTATGCACTGTTTATTTAAAACGGAGTTTAAATATATCAGTCGGTGTGTTCTAAGAAATTGAGATATTTTACGACGTCCTCAGCCTATTATTAGTACATTGCATCAGGTATTCTCGGTTTCAAGTGTCTAGTTACCTCGAAACTGCCTACCATTCTTTAGAGGAATGTTTGCTGACTCAATTCCCGCATATTAATTTCAGATATTTCTCCATTCCCTTGCAATTTTTGGGGAACCACAGAATTGAGCAAATGGCGTCCACCGTACCATAAAACTGCTTTAACTATAACCATCACAATATGACTGTTGACCCACTCGACCAAAACAAGAATGAATCAGGCCGAACACAGTGAGAATGCGGGACAAAAATCGTATTCGAAGGAAATCGTATAATCTAAAATAAGTGCAATATACTTAGAACGTTGACTTCTTTCCTATATTCGAACTGATTGTTCGCTGTGCAATCTACTCATGATTTTCTAGTTAAAATGTGTATCATTAGTGTCCGTAAAGATCTATTCGATCGTTCGGTTTTATTGTTCCCAGTGTATGTTCAAAGTGACAACCGCGAGCATTCGGGTCGGGACTTCAAACCCTCACCTCTGAGTTACACGGTCGATGGTCATCACCCTGTGCGAATGGATCAATCAATTTAGACCGTCAAACTTGGATTAGCCAAATCGACTGGCCAGATGCACCAGGCGCTCTTGATGGAGTAAAACCGAAACCCAAGAACATCAAGAGTGCCTGTTACCTCTGAACAATCGAAGAGGCTAATCCAAGTTTGATCCTCCTTAAGTGACAAGTTCAACACGCGATACCATAACACGACTCACAAATCAAAAGTGCATCACTCAAACAGTTAGGGGCGCGTTAGACCCCGGTTACGATGACCTTTGTTCACTGACCTGTCTAACCGATGAACTTACATCGGTGCTCTAGCAAAGTTAAGTGTGATTATCGTTCAGTTATTCACACAGGCGCGTCCGCGCGACGGCGTTTATCGGTCACCTAGATCTAACATCTTACTCCACCGTCAAGCGCGATTATCATTCGCACGTTTGCGCGTTAGTGAGCCAGAGCCCATCGATAGAACGAATGGCCGTAGCTTTGGTGACAACTGTTCAGTGTTTACAACCAATAATCACGCACTTCCGCGGCCGGTTTTCGTTGTTGTCTTTTGGGATAAAAGAGCAGAATGAGGATTGGGATGTTGAGAGCAAGTTCAAGGGGAAGATAGAGAATTCATATAGACTGAGGTAGCAAGAGTATTGAGTAGATGCAAGCGCCACTGTTTGCAACACTCAGCCCCATCATCCAGTGTCTCTATCACTAGTTGCCATGACCTCGAGTTCGCCATCCAGGAAGCATAACGGGACCTATGTGACCGGGTGTCCTGGTTAGGGTTTTCCAACCCTCAAGCCAGATCTTAGACTGCCCGTCCTAGACATTGTTGCACCCGGTACCTGCCTCGTCGTGGCAGCCTACTTCAGGACGATCTATCTAATTGCTAAAAGAAACTTGAAATAACACTTTTAAATAATCCACCTCCTCCTCATCAAATCCTGAACAGACTATTTCATCTTCGAAAAGACATATAATGAGTAAAGTCTTCGGTCAAATGGCATTTTCCTCAGGTAACTTTCGCAGCCTATACCTTGGAAACTCCGGGGAGTTTGAAATTTTTCAGTAACCAGCGGTGATAACCTTTATCCGGTCATGCACCCACAAAGCAATAACGTGACCTTTTCTTTGGATTTTTCGGATCGATAAACTGTTTGTCCTTTGAGACATAATAGTCTTTCTGGGAGCTGCTTGCAATCCAAAGTTGCTTCATCTGCATTGAAAATATCACAGTCAGCATATCCATGGGTTAACTGTGGTAACCCTGCTCTAATCTTGTCCACTGCATCACATTAAACTGCCCAAGCTTCCCAACAAACCCACAAAGTAATGCACATGAATATTTGCGTGTCTCTTACTTTGTAGGGTTGAATACCACATTTTTCTGAATAAGAGCGAAATAAATCATTGGAAGCTGCATTCTTTGTGCTAGTTGGATTGCCTTCTTACAAATGA